TTTTTTTTTTTTTTTTTTTTGGTACTGGGGATCAAACTCAGGACCTTGCACCTCCGAGGAAGGCAGTGGCAGCACTGAGCTAAATCCCCGGCCCTACTTTTTTTTTAATGGACAAATTTAGAAGAAGAGAAAATGTAGAAGGTTGGTGCAAGACATAGTGGTACATGCCTGCAATCCCAGCACTCAGGAGGCTGAGGGAGGAGGATCGCGGTGAGTTTGAGGCCAGTCTGGACTACAGAATGAGACCCTCATGGGAGAGGGAGCGGGAGAGAACAGAACAGTTAAAGGGAATATAAACAATCATCCTCTTCCCATTACCAGATAAATTTAAATTAAAACAATGGTATCATTTTACACCCATTAGACTGATGACAATTTGAAAGTTGTTTAATTGTAAGTGTTGGCAGAGATTTAGCGATACTCAGACCTGTGTGCTCTGTGGTGAGAGTATGGGTGGGGCGGGGTAAAATGGAGCCGCATGGTAAGTTAGGTGGAGGAGATGCAGACCTGCAACCCAGCGACTCTTTTCCTGGGTGTACTTCCAAGGGACTCCCCACAAGTCCATGAAGGAGCAAGCGCCCCTGCTCTACGTCTCTCACCGGGGATGTGCGTAGGAAAATTGTGGTGCATGACGCCACAGCTCCACCACGGAAAACCCTGTGGCAAAAGGAAAATGGCCAAGTGTTGTAAAGGAAACAATGTCGGTTTGTTTCCCCCTAAATCTCTAAAAAGCAACAGAAATAGTCAATAACAGATTACTCTCCTGGGTTGGGTAGTGCCCAAGTAAAGTACTTGCTTAGCATGTACAAGGCTGTGGATTTAATCTGCAGCACAAAACAAAGGAAAAAAATAGATTGCTATCCTAGATATATATGTAGACTAAAAATAAATTAGAAAAAGTCAAACAACTCAACAGAAAAATGAGCAAAAGTTGCAAATTTCATTGTAGACAGAAACCCAGTTAGCCAATAAACACACAAAAGATGCTCAATTTAATTAGCAATTACAAATGCAAATTAAAACAATGCTCACATTCCACCTCACCCCAGAAAGAATGGCTGTTATCAAGTAATCAACCAATAACAAATGCTGGCTGGGCTGTGGGGGAAAAGTAACTCTTCTTCACTGTTGGTGGGAAGGCAGACTGGTGCAACCGCTGTAGAAATCTGTGTGGAGATTCCTTAGAAAACTAAAGCTAGAGATTCCATTCAACCCAGCTATTCCCCTTCTTGGTATCATCCAGAAAGAATTAAAAGCATCATACCACAGCAATATGTGCACATCCATATTTATAACAGCACAAATGGTAATAGTCAAATCTTGGAAACAGCCCAAATGCCCATCCATTGATCAGTGGATAAAGAAGGTTTTTTTTATAAACAATGGAGTACTACTAAGCCCTAAAGAAGGATGAGCTTCAGACATTTATAGCTAAATGGATGTGCCTTGAGACCATACTCTTAATAAATCAGACGCACATGCTTAAATACTGCATTGTTTCTCTGTTGTGCGAAACTGAAAGTGGAAATAAGAACTAAACTGTACAATGCATGTTGGGAAATGGGAAGAAAGTGTTCGAACGGGAAGAGGAACAAGGGAGGAGGGAGGGAAAGGAAGGGACAAGAAAAAAGTGACAATGGAAGGAAACAATGGAAACAAAGCTTCTGTGCATAGGGAAGGGAGGGAGCTTGAGGGGAAGGGGACACATAGAAATGTTTAAAAGGAAAACATCAGCGATCACACATCTGTACCCGTCGTCACAGTGTGACGCTGTTCAACTAATGAAAGCGTCCGAAAGAGAAAACCAATTCTGCCAAGCCACAGCACCAACTTGTACGGACTGGAATGATGAGGTCACACCGCGGCTAGCGGGGCTCATTGGTTACACACACAGGAAAGCAATCGAAGGTCATCCGTGAAGGTACGGGTGCGTCCAGAAGAAACACTTGCTGTGTGGCGCAGGTCCAGCGCATGAGGACGTTTGTGAGTGTGGCCGTCATTATGAAGGGAGAGAACACCAGTGCTCCTCTCCGGGAAGATGGACAAACCAATTGCGGTCTACGCATGGAAGGAAATATTACATTCAGCCGTAATATGTAGTGAGTGACGTCCACATGTATGATCGTGGGTAATTCTCACAGACACAATCGCGTGCAAAACTGGGATAGAAGAAGGCCTACCGCAAAACACACGCAAAACTACAGACGCCTTGGGTGTTACTGTGTAATTTGTACTTTGTAATGTCTGGTAGTTGCATGGCTTGTTAAGCTTCAGGCTAACAGAAAATTAAGCATTAACTATGGTGGCGGGTTAAAAAAACTGCACAATCAAAACCTTTGAAATTCATCTACAAAATGTTGGTAAACAGCGATGCGGGAAATTAGACACATTGTTCTAGGCTACCTCTCCGATGCCATCGGTCAATCATTTTTTATCTCAAATGCCCGTGCTGGTTGTACCCACCTGAACATGAGACGTTGTCACCTAGCCGCACGGGCCGAGGGTTAGGTCTGCCAAGGCGTCCCTGGCCGGCTGCTCGCCTGAGCGCTCCGCGGGGCGGTGACACGGCAGCGGGCCCGGCGACATGTCCACGGCTCAGATCTCGGCTCTGGTGTTCGGGGTCGGAGGGTTCGGCGCTCTCGTCGCTGCCACCACGTCCAACGAGTGGAAAGTGACCACGCGGGCGTCCTCGGTGATAACCGCCACGTGGGTTTACCAGGGGCTGTGGATGAACTGCGCAGGGAACGCGTTGGGTTCGTTCCACTGCCGACCGCATTTCACCATCTTCAAAGTGGAAGGTAAATACACCAGCTCTGCTCGGGCCACCTGCAGGGTTACCTTCTCCTCGGGCTGCGCGGCACAAGCTCTTCACAGCCTGCTTGTCGCGCTGGTCTGCTTCGGGGGCCAAATGTGCCTGGGGGGATGGGGTGCGTGAGGTCGACTGAAAGAATTAAATCGTTTATTTTATTTGGGAAAGGAAAGTTAAGGACAATGTAAGGGACCTTTTAGAGATATCCGATGAATAATAGGGCAAAGGGTCGAGACAACTGGGCTGTGTCAGAAGCTGATTTCAGTTTGCTTTGAGTCTTAGAGGGATCCTGATGGATCTTGGGAAATCTTTCATAGATTTAATCTCCCTCCTCCTCCTCCCCTCTTTTAGTAAATCACACTTTATCCTAAATACTGTACTCCCTCACGCCATCCTACACATGGACATAGTGGTACAGATGCAGATGTTTTTCCTCTAGAGCAATACAAGCTTATGACAAGAAAGCTATTATTGAGTAAGGGAAGGGCTTCTGTTTTTAGAGGTGCTTCTGTTTTTAAAAGATCACATTTAGTGATAAAATAACAGATCAAGAGATCTTTTTAAGTAGTTAAGTGAAAGTAAATGTAAACTTTCTCTTTTGATGATTTTGCTTTGTTTTTTTGTTTAATGCATGGGTATGTTTTCCTCCTCATGTATATTTGAAACTCTGTTATGGGTAATTATGTATCATAAAGAGACAGCATTAAAAAGGGGGGGGTATCTTTATCTCAGGATGCCTCCAGAGAAACAATTGTTTCCATAATTGCTTTTTGAGTCATCTGAAGAAGCCTTATCTGCCTCCCCTTTCTGAAAATGTCATGTGCTTACAAGCTGTGGACCTCATATGGTAAAAATTACTCCTGGTTTTTGGTAGAATACATATATTTTTTCACAATCAAATGGTGAAGTTGTACCTTGGTCTCAGTAAAGAAAACGGAATAAAAATTTAACTAAGAAGTTACTAAAGCGTAATCTTCTCTGGGGTTTTGTGTCAAGTGTGCATGTCATTAAGTCCTGGGTGAGTGCCAAGGGATAAAGAGAGACTACTTAGGTAAAGCCAGAGACTTCTAATGACAGATAATGGGCAGGCTCATGGGTGGCTGCCCTGGGCACCCTAAAGTAGCATGTACTCCCCCGATACGCACTGGAGGGTCCAAGGCTCTGTCCTTCCGCCAGCATCGAAACTCCTTCCGGAGTGTTTCCAGACTCCTTCTATCGTAGAAATGACCCCAGCATGGCCAATTTTCCAAAGCACAGTGTCATACTATTGTCATTCTGTGGAACCCTGAGGGTTCGTCTTTGCCCATCACCCATTCGTGGCCCGTTCTTACCTTGGACAGCAAGAAGCCATGACCTGTGGATAAGTCTGCTGCTTCGTTTTCAACTGAGTTTAGCTTCTCAAAAAATATATTGTAGGGCCGGGGATTAGCTCAGTGGTTCTGCCGCCTGCCTCACAAGTGCAAGGACCTGAGTTCGATTCCCGGGCCCAAAAAAAAAATTTATATATTGCAATCTCTGAACTCTGGGAGGAGGAGGCAGGAAGATCAAAAGTTCAATCCCAGCCTTGGCATCTTAGCAAATTAGCAACACCCTGTCTCAAAAAATAGAAAAGATGTTGGGGTTGTAGCTCAGCCTGGGTTCAACCTGCAGTGATGCCAAAAATATGTCTTATTACACTTAATTTTATATTCCTTAATGAAACCCAGCCACTGAGGAAAACATATGCAACATTAGCTCCAAAATGAGTGAGCTAAGCAACCATAGCAGATTTCTGAATGACTTCAGCAGTTGCTTACCCAAACACACCTTAGAAGCACACAGCTAGAAATTACATTGCTAAGTTAATGTTGAGAGTAGTCCAAAGAAATTTCACCCTTAAAACTCTAGAGTTTGCTTTGCTTCTCAACAGTATAAATAATGTATTGTATATCTGCTGCATAACCTGCAATCACAGAGGTCATTTGAAAAATCTTATCCACTGACAATGCTACCATTAGAACACATATAGCATTAAGTTAACATAATCTTTCCACCTTCTTCATCCTGAATCACAATCTTTATAGAAGACGCAGTTAATGCAGAATCCTATTTTCACTGTCAGTGACACTGATTTATATCTCCAAAGGAGATGGGGGCCACATGCTTGGATTTCCTGAATCACATCCAGGCATTGCTAACATCGCTGGTTCCTCTAACCCTCGGAACAATATGGCAACGAAGGCGCTAGAACAGATACCTGTCCCACAGGCTTTCAGATATCACAATTACAAGTTGAGAAAAGAGCTGAGAAACCAGTTAAGAATGAAAATGATGGTGTCATTTAAGAAAAGTAAACTATTAGGGCAAGGATTTAGCTCAGTGTTGCTGGGCCTGCCTCACCAAGCACAAGGTCCTGAGTTTGATCCCTGGTACTACAAAAAGATAAAGAAAGAAAGAAAGAAAGAAAGAAAGAAAGAAAGAAAGAAAGAAAGAAAGAAAGAAAGAAAGAAAGAAAGAAAGAAAGAAAGAAAGAAAGAAAGAAAGAAAGAAAGAAAGAAAGAAGGAAAGAAAGAGAGAAAGAAAGGTAAGTTGGTAAACTATTTACTCTTGCATTGACAACATGAGACAAATCTTTTTGCATTTAGGCCAAATTAAGAAAAACAGAAAACCTTTTTAAGCTGTCAGGTTTCTCTTGCTGATTACCATCTTCATTGCTGATGATCATTTCTTTTGTCTTGGATGTCCCAGAATAGTCATTGTGTTTAGGGGATCATTTGAATTAATAGCAACTGTATCCTTTAAAGATCTGATGTAAAGACACATAGCTTTAAGGATTTGGTAGATGTTTGGGTAAGGAGCATTTGCAGTTATTATTCTAAGAATATGGGCCATTTTTAACTACAGTTCTAGGAGATAAATTTCTGGAAAGCATCACAGAGACACCGGCGATTCAATTCTCCTCATGACCTGAAAACCAAAGCTCCTTAATTCAAATTGAAAACAATTCCGTGTCTTTAGAGCCAAAGCTCACTGTATGCCCTGTCTCCTATTTTGTTGTGTTTTGTTTTTCTCTCATGTCAGTGTTTACAGGAATGTTTTAACTACAAAAGTATAGTGTCTCTCAGAGGCACCAAAGAAATTAGTTGTTCCACATACAAGGAACTTGGTCTACAGCCAAACTTGAATCAAAATTTTCAGAAAAAAAGAAATTTCATCTGTACTAAACATATACAGACATTTTCTTGTCATTATTTTCTAAACAATGTGGTGCAATGGCTATTTACATAGCATTTATAGTGTACTAGGTATTCTATGTCATCTAGAGATGATTTAAAGTATACAGGAGGGTGTGTTTAGATTATAGGCAAGCACTGCACCCTTCTCTCCAAGAGACTTGAGCAGTCCCAGATTTTGATGTCCGCAGTGAATCCTAGAACCATTCCGCCTGGGATACCAAGCTATATTTCTGAGAGGAAAGCAAGATTCAGCAAACATTGCTACAAGGAGGAATTGAAGCCAAAGCAGTCACTTTGGCCATGGTCTTGGTGTGTCCATTCTGTGAAGTTGGTCCATGGTGGACCTTGGATAAATATTTGCAAAGTAACTGAATGATGATAATCATAACAGGTAGAGTGTTGTGGGTTGGATCTGAAATCTCCCCTCAAGGTCTCATGCATTTAGAAGGTAGTTGCAATCATGGGGGCATGGTAGTCTTTGGTGGATTCATGCACCAATAAGTTCAGTGGCTGAGTGTGCTGGTAAGAAGAGCAGGTCACTGGGGACGTGGGAGGGTGAAGCTCCTTCCCCAGCTCCTCCCATCGCTCTCTGCCTCCTGGCCACCACAGCAACATGAGCAGCTGTCCCCCACCCAGGTCCTTCCACCTTGCTATTTCTCCTTAGGAGCTGGCCAACCGTGGACTAACCCGCTAAAAACCATGATCCAGAATGAACCTCTCCTCCTCTAAGTTGCTGCTGTCAGGCATGGTGTGTCAGGGATGAGAAAAGTGACTAAGACTCATGTCTTAGGCTACAGGCAGTTCGTGATGAGGGTGCAGTTATATTTCTGGGAGAAGGCTGACGTGTGCTGAACTGAGGAGTGAGTTACCAAAGGAAGGTCACTGGGCTACAAGTCATCAGATAAAGCTTCAGATTCTGCATCTTTTATTAACTAACTGTCTGGCTTTGACTTCAACCATGAAACTTTCATCCACCAATTTTCTGTTCCATAAATTAAGAGAACTGGACTCCAACCATCCCTTAAAGCCTCTCTCAGTGTAGAGTTCAATTCAAGAGTGTTACAGGGCTTCACCATGAGACAGTAAAAATTCACTGAAGAATTTTAGCTGTAAACATCTCTATTCTAATTGCTCAAGGGATCATAGTAGCCCCTTCTCTCCCACTTCTTTCACCTACTGTCTTGACTGCCATTTCTGTGCTCCTGTTTAGAATCTTACAGCTTCTGGATCAAGATAGGTTTGAGAGACCTCAAATGACAGCATAACCCAGGAGAAGGTACCAGGATTTCAGTGGAATGAAACCAAGTACGATTCTAGAGATAACAGGCAAATGTAAAAGCTGTCTGTAGGAGTGTGAGCCTTGTTTTGGCCTGCCTTACCAGCCATGCCATAAGAATGGAGCTAATAGAATGGCAAAGAAAGTTGTCTGTGGGTTTTATTCACTTATAGGGAGAAGCTGGAGCATCTAATGTCATAACTTTAGGTTTCTTGCTGGCTGAAGTATGAGGTGTTCCTGAAATCCCTTTTAGTGTGAGAAGTTGCACTGGTTTTGCTGTCTTGATTTCCTGAATCAATGCAAAACATTTACTTTTCATGGTCCTTTTGACTAGAAGTCTCATGGTGCCAGATCTGGTGAATAAGGTGGATGAGGACATATTGCAGTGTTTTTACAAGCCTGCCTTTCCATTGTATGGCACAAATAGCAGCCATTGTACATTTTGGATCATACTTCATAAAGACACTCATGAAAGTTGACTTACAGAGATACATCAGA